TTTAAGACCACAGTGTTTCCAGCAGAAATTGCCCCAATTAAGGGATCAAGTGTGAGACCTGGAATAAGATGATAGGGCTTGCTTCTTAGACATCAGTGGAGCTTCATTTCAAACACAGTTATCACACTACTTCCAAAAGAATTTTAAGTTTATCCTTCTAAAAAAGAAAAAAATAAGCATATAACTCTGCCTTTTTGTCATTTCATGGATAGTTGCAAAAAAAAATAAAAAATAAAGCAATGTTTAACTTAATTTGAAAATAAGCAAATGACAATCAATCAAGCTATCTTCTTAAATTATTCATATTCCTTGCGGTTTGTATTTCCTGAACAAACTGCCCCACCCATAGGATGCAGTTGGTAAAATATAGAAATATCTGCCAAAATACATTTGTAACTGTGTGTAAGTTTTCAGAGAACAATGTTTTCTGCAATCCCTCCCTATATATTAATTCAAAACGTGTTGAGCCTAGGTGGCAGATTCTCACGCTTCCTCCCTATATATTAATTCAAAACGTGTTGAGCCTAGGTGGCAGATTCTCACGCTTCGGATGCTAACATGGCAAAAATCTATGCTTCGTGATGTTGTTTTTATATTATTTTTGATCTGGGAGCTAGGTTTGGTATTAGACATAAATAACTTTATACATATATTCATTAACTCAACACCCATGTTGTACATGGGTATTAGTACTAGTTAGGTTAATAGGCTAACCTTGAGGATGGTATTTGGAAATATACCTTTGTTGTAATCAAAAGGAAAGTTTTACCATAAATAACTCCTATTGTTTTTAAAGAGAGTACACAGTGCTATCTATTATTAAGCCACACATGACCAAAATGGCCAGACAAGTAAGGCAATGACAACCAAGAATTAAGGGAACTTACTGATGGGGAAATTCCAGGATCCAAATATGAGTACAATACCCAGTGGTTCTGGCAATACTTGTGCTTTTGATGGAAACAGAAGTAGAGGTAGTTGGGCCTGGATAAGTCATTCTTTTCAAAACTACATTGTCTGAATATTGAAATTGTCTTTCTTTTTCTTTATAGTAACACTTTTTTTTTTTTTAAATCTTGAGAAAATAATAATAATAATAATAATAATAATAATAATAATAATAATAATAATAATAATAATAATAATAATAATAATAATAATAATAATAATAATTATCTAAAATCAAGAAGGAGAGAACTTCATCAGCAGACACGTCTTCCGGCCACAACTTGGAAAAACATCCAGCAAGTTACAATCATTGATGGTAAATAATGAAGCTATTCCATGTGAAGAATTATTCGGTCACATATTGAGGCTCAGGTAGTGAAATAACTAATCTAAAGTTGTAATAGTTAATTGTTATTATCAATTTCATTTCTGAATTTTGATTGATCATCCCAATTTTATATGTATTGGCCACTCACTAGATAGCTATGCTAAGAAAAAGGAAACAGAACAGAAAATGTGGGCCATCTCTCTAAGCAAATATACATGGAAGAAAGAGATAATTTGTCAACTGTGAATCATCAGGATAACTGAACTAGAAATCAGCAATGGATGGGAGCTGTGTGTCATATTCAATGAAGGAAACCTGCAATTACCAATTATACTAGAAATAGATTTCTTTTTATCTATATTGTCATTATTATTTAATTATCTGAAGTGTCAATGTAAAAGTACCAAAGTCTAAACAAAGTTGTGTACTTTAACTGTCTTCGGAAATAAGTGAATATTTAGCAACATCATCTTTTCACCTAAAATCCATGTGCAATATCTATCAGGCAGGTATGGAACTCTCATTCTCATCAGCCCCACCCCACACAACTACTATCAGTGTCATTATTCTAAGCATTCAATTACCTAAAGATGGATAATATGCCAAAAGATATCATACAGAGGACCCCAGGTAAATTAAAAGTACACCAATTAAGGGGTGTATTCATTTGAGATTTCTAAAAACGTTTTAAGACTTTAAAAATTTTGGTGTATTTAATTTAGACTTTATAAGACTTTTAAAAGTCTCGAGGCATTCATTAAGATTTTTAAAAGTCTTACAAAATTTGAGACTATAAGGTATTTAACTTATTTGAAACTAGGATTTGTTAAGACTTCTAAAAATTTGCTTGGGATTTGAAAGAAAATACAAATCTCACTCCAAAGATTTGTTAAGACTTTTTAAGATTTGCTTGGATTTTGAAAGAAAAAAACCTTGAAATCTCAATTAAGATTCCTCCAAAATCCGAAAATCTTAAAAATCTCAAATCTTAAAAAGTCTACAAAATAGAACAAAAGTGACCTTTTTGACAGCCATCCATGAGCTGATGTGAACCAGAGCATGATCTGCTGATTTCTTCACCACTCCAATCTAAAGGTATAAAATTGGGGAAAAATATATTAGCATCCAAAACAATAACATTGATAATAACATCAAGTTTGGTGAGAAAATGTTAAAAGAGTAGAGAAAGGACAAAAAAAAGAACACATCACTGCACAACTGAATAGACAAATTTATCAGACTTCATTTATTTTCTGCAAAAACAAACTGCAAAAGACAAAGGAAATAGAAACAGAAATCAGTCAAATCAAGCAACCCTATTAGGATATTATGCCTGCCATGGCTAATGGCCCAAGGAAAGTAATCAAATTTAGCATAACCTCACTTGAAGAAGACCAACCAAACAAACCCAAAAATCAGCAAAACTACTAGAAATCTGGAGAGAGAGAGCGAGAGAGAGAGAGAGAGAGAGAGAGAGAGAGAGAGAGAGAGAGAGAGAGAGAGGAAAAGCAAACCTCATCACGATAAGCTTCAACAGGATGTTTCCCAAGATCTAGCCTCAGGGCTTCGAAAATCTGCGCTTCATTTTCGGCTAACAATCTCAGAACCGCTCGAAGCTGCGCCTTCCGCCACTCGATTCCCCTCGTTTTCCCACCTCGGAAAGTTCTCCTGAGCCCCTCAAACCCCTCCGCCATGATTTTGAGCTGTTTTTGCGTGAAGATCAACTGATATACAGAATCGTGTCTAAGTTAAGTCAATCAACTCAATAAATGGAGCTCGCGACGCCGTATGTCTACCCAAAATTGAGAGGACGGGGCATTGTTAGATCGAGCAGTCAATAGCCATAGCCATAACCAAATGCGTTGTATACAGTAGCTGTTGGGATTAATAAATTAGCGAAGCATGAGCGGGGCCTGTACTAGACTGACCGTGACCGTTTGAAAAAGAAGAAAAAAAAAAAATAAATAACAATATAAGTTTTACATCTTAACTTCTTAAATATCTTTTCATAATTACATCCATCTACCCTCTTGCTCAATAAATTGTGAGAAATTATGCTAGAAAAAGAAATTCCCGGGAATGAGTAGACCTTAAAAAATCACATGTTTTTTGCACTTTTCTCGTTGACTTTTCTCATTGATATTATAACTATGTTTGGTAGATAAATAAGATAGCTTATAGTCTATTTGGTTAGCTTATAAGCTATTTGTATTCAAATAGGCTTCGTGACGAGTTTTTTTTTTAAAACTCAAACTTATTTGATAAGCTTATTTGGGTATCTTTTCAAATAAGCTCGTTGAAATTTTTATGTCAGCTAGCTTCTCAGTTAATTTTATCAAATATTTTTATCATATAAGCTAGTTTTTCAGCTTTAAATCATAAGATATAAGCTACGCTCGAAAATTACTGATAAGTTATCAGCTAGCTTATCAGCTAGTTTTACCAAACATAGCATATATATGATTGGTCTTGGTTTTACGTTGTTTTATCTTTGTGGGTTGATGAATGTGCTACGAAATCATCTTTTTACATCTCTATAAATGGAACACTTCGAGGATATTTTGACGGTAAAAAAATTTTTCGATAAAGAAACTAAATGTCATTTGCTTTGTTTTTAATTTGTATGGAATATTTATCGAGACTTTTGAGCATAAATGCTTCACTCACCTCCTTTAAGTTTCATCCAAGATGTAATGAACTTAAAATCTCTCACTTATCATTTGCATATGTTTAATGCTTTTCAATAATGGTCATTAAGATTCAATTAAGTTGATTGTATGAAGGAATTAAAAAATGTTTCAGGACTGAGCATCAATACATCCTAATCTAATATTTTTAAAACAGTTTTTTATAGGCTCCAACTTGATGACATTTTAGGTTTCCCAACAAGTAAACTTCTTGTTAAATATTTAGGAATCTTGTTAAGAGCTCAAAAACTTGAAATTGCAAACTATGCACATTTAATTGATTGCATTACTGCCTATATTAATAAATGGACAACAAACAACATATCTTATGCAGGTAGGTTACAATTAATCAAATATGTGTTGCATGGTGTGAAATGTTGTTGGTTGCAAATATTCCTTCTTCATAATACTGTGATTGATAGAATTACTAGATTATACAGGGTTTTTCTCTAGGGTAAGAATAATCCTCTTAGTTTTTGGAAAAATACTTGCATACCTTTTTATTAAAGGGGTTTAGGCCTCTTAGATCTAAATGCTCGGAATAAATCTTTACTTTCAAAAGTACTTAGGAATACTCATCGTAAAATAGATTCCCTTTGGAGTAAAGGGTTTCATGCTTATTACATTAAAAACCATTTCTTTTGAGACTAGAACCCAAAACAAGATGCATTCCCTTTAATGAAATGAATTTGTGAAATCACATGCCTTCTTGTCACTTCTATTGGTAATTATGAAGATGTAATCCAATCTTTTAACAATTATTTCTCGCTAAAGTGTCTAAATTGCTCGTTATTGTATAAGTTATTTCCAAATAAAGGAGAAAAAAATCTTTGTAAGTCTGTCATTTTAAAGATCTTTATTCTTCCAAAATTTCCTTTTTCACTTGGCTTTGTGTTCAAGATAGATTGGCCTCCTTGAATAACCTCTATTTCTAAGCTACAAACCAATGTAAGTTATGCCTCCTTAATGAAAAATTTGATGCTCATTTGTTCTTTAAGTGTCCTTGCACAAAAGTGGTTTGGATTTAGTCCACTAATGGTTGAATTTCAAAATACGCTATGATCTCTAAGATGCATCTCCTTTAATGAAACAAATATGTCATTATATTCACAGGTCGGGGGTGCAGCCTCAACCCCCCATCCCTCTCTGGGATGTTTTATATATATATATATATATATATATAAAAAAAATTGTCAAATCAGAGAACTGGTCTCTTATCTAGGTAAACATGAAGAGGTAATCCAAACTTGGAACAATTGCTTCTTACTGAAGGGTATAAATTGCTTGTTATTGTATAACTTGTTTTGCAATGAAGGAGAAAAAAATCTCATGAAGTTAGCCATTTGGAAGTATACGAACAAATTTTTTCTTTTGCACTTGGCTTGGTGTTCAAGATAGATTGGCCACTTTGGATAACCTCTCTTTCTTAGATATGGAACAAACATGTATGCCTCCTTAATGAAGAATTTGTTTGTCATTTTGTCCTGTCACAAAAGTGGTTTGGGATTTAGTTCGCCGATGGCTGAATTTCGAACAATCTATGACCTTTATCTATAGTGCTATCAAATGACCTTTATCTCATTATGCTGCAACATCTATCATATTTGAAATGCTCGAAATGCAATTGTTTCCGATGAAACTCTTTTCGCTCAACAAGCTATGTTTGCTAAAATTCATAATCAATTTTACAAGGTAATGTACTCTTTTTTCCCATCCGACGCCATTAATTTTTAGTTTGCAAAACCTTTTATCGTCTTTTTTTTTCTTTAATTCAGGGGATTCTCCCAATTTTTGGTTATATACTTGAGTTGTCCGCCCTCGTCCTTTTTTTCTCTGCTAGCTCAAAGGGGGGTTTTATTCGCATTCCTCGTTGTGTGAACTTTATTTTTTTCTTTTTTATACTTGCGTAGGTTTATTGTTGGATGTACTGTTTGGACAAGTCTTTTTGTTGTTTCTATCTTGGACTTTTTTGGATTTTGAAACCACTATCTTCACAGCTGATTGGACTGAGTATCGACTTCGATACCCTGCATAAGGCCCAAAATCTGTTCGTATGGACCTTCACTGTCTATTTAAAAGTTTTTGGGTGCACATTAAGCAAGCACATGCGTTTATGATTTTCCTTTTTCTTTTAGAGTTGTTTGGATGCACTTTTGGCAGACACGTGGTATATAAAAAAACTCTGCCTAATTGTGTCATACTATTATGTAATATTTTATCAGTGTTTTAGATTCACTTGGTTTTATTGGAAGGCATGTTGTAATAGTTGTCTTTATAGCCTTCGAAACTATCTTGTACCTGAATTTTCACAATTTCGGTTAAAGGGGCATTTTATGGTTGACTCGTGGCCGATGAAAGAATGTTGAACAAACTAAAATACCCTTGTTATGTTATGACTTGTTGCTATTAGCTGATAACGAGTAACAAATAATTGTTGTATTAGCGCATAGAAGATTTAACTTTTGGTTTGCTACATCGTAAGGGGTGAAAACCAGCGCAAATTAATAAAATAAATAATCATTTATCGAATAAATACTAACCCCATAGGCTCGCCTAGCGATTGTAATGATCGACATCTTTTAAAATAACGTAATAGTACAAATTTTGATTTGTAAAGGACTTTGAAAATTACCTTTTTTTTTTCTTCTACAAAGCGATGGCAGAGAAGAAATCGATTCTCAGGTATGTGGCACCATCTTCGGTTGTGTCACAGTAAGAATCCACGTGTCTCTCCTCTAAGCAAGTCCACCTTTTGTAATACGACTTCGAGAACAATCTCTTCGCTAGTAGAAATGTTCTGAATCTTCATTTGGTATAAAAATGGATTAAAAGGGTAGAAAATATAATTTTTTATTCTATTTTTGAAAGTCGAGACTTGTTACTCTTTTTCTCTTAAAACATCAACCAAAAAAATGGGAGAGCATTTATTTTTTACTTGATATGTGCATCATATATGTTGGGGATCAGTTAACAATTTTGAATTTACGCAAAGTACAAACTATACGAGTTAACTCTAAGCATAGCAAAACTAGAGGTTAGGGTACAATGCATACAGTTTAAAATTTTCGTAGACTTTATACAGACATACACGACCTACGGGCCGAACGAACAGTTCTGAATGCGTCCTCTATCTCTTTCGATCATCATGCCTTGGCCGGGTTCGTCTCTCCAGTGCTCGTCTCATCACGATTGCCTCATTGCACTTCTTGGTGTCCGAGTCACGTATAGGATTGCCTAAGGGTTGTTGGACCACTATCGGATCGCTTTCAGGTCGTTGGGGGTCACTTGGGTCATTGTCGGGTCGCTTGGTGCGGCTGGGGTGCGTTGGTGCACGGAGGTGCGTTCCTGTGCGCACTGGTGCCTGGGTGTTGTCGGGTCTCACACGCGGTTGTGTCATGTTGCTTGCCTAGGGTCGTTTGTGTGCGTCTTAGGTCTTCTGCGTAAGGAGTCGTTGGGCACGCCTGAGTCGAGCGCTATGTGGGCCTCACAACAATGTCTTTGGGGGATGCAGGCTGCATGTACACTACGTGTGACACCTGCATGTCACTCGACAAAGACGTGAGTGCCCAGCACATTTCGCTCGCACGCGAGCGTCGCCAAGGAACTCGAGCGCTACGAGTCAATCGTGCGCGCAGGCCGCGATGCCTACGAGAAACTCGTGCGCCTGCCTGCGAATTGTGGTCGGACTGGACATGGTGATAGGTATTTCCTAACAAAAAAAAATGATGCTATTAGAAATGTTCTTATCCTAGTACAATTTGGGGAGTTGTTGAAGGTAAATCCTATTAGTTCTTAACCTAGGCCAATTTGGGGAGTTGTTGAGGGTAAATCCTATTATATACAAAAAGCTCTAAACTAAATAGAGATGGCAATGGGCCGGGTTGGGCCGGGTACCTACGGACTTGGCCCGTGTTTTTGCCCAGTGGACCAGACCTGTCCCTCGACTCGCGACGAGTCCAACAGGTCGGGCTCGTGACCTGACCCGTTTCGGGGCCGGTGGACCTGCC